TCCTCAGCAAAGCACATCAAGTTTAACTGGTATAATTCAAAACACCTCAGTCATTCTCCTAGTGAGCTAAAAGATCCCCGTTTGTTAGCATGGGATACCTCTCACATCACCAAAGCCCATAAAGATAGAGTTCAACCCTCCCCTACTTCCAGGCACTGGGGAAGACCACCACCTGACTGACAAAGTAAAAATGGTGATAGGTAAGAGGAGTACCAACAAACGGGCAGGAGAAAGAGGAACAGAGCCCAGAAAGATACCTAATCTATGCCTTCTGCTACCTTCTGCCTGTGGCAAAACAACTCAGCACTCCCCACTTTTCAGGCAAGATGCAAGGGTGCAAGGTAAGCACTGGGAAATGGATGCTTTCTGTTGAATCCCGAGTGAACACGCAAAGATGATCTAAAACTCATGTGCCTGCAGAGGATTCTCCAGCACTTACAGACACCTCACCTCATAGCCCTGGGCCTACACAACAACCTCTCTTCAGTACAGGATCAAATATGTGCTGTATGCCCTTTCACAGCAAGCCACCACATGGCTCTCCTTCAGACTGTAGTTCTTGAGAACTATTAATGTACACCAACTAGACAGACCAAATGCGTAATTTTATGGGGTGGTACCACATAGTGAAATCCAAGGTCCTCACTCCAGCAGTAAAGTTCATGCTGGTCACAGAAAGATTTATTTGGAAAACTTTCTTTCACTGAAAAAATGCAGTGGAAATATTTTCCATCCAGTTGACCTCGGAAAGTACGTTCAAGAACTAACAAAATAACAAGTTATTATTATTAAAAAAAAAGTTATTCTATGTCTGACATACAGTTTGTTTAAAGTACCTTGAGAACCATGATGGAAAAGCTTTCCGCAAGATGCTTATCAGAGCTAAAGTTAGACAGAACTTGCTATCTGCCCAACTCCAGACCTACTTTTCACTCAGTGAGCATTAAAGACTGTGCAATAAGTCTATGTTTTGAAATTCAGCAGTTATATAACAACTGTGCACAGGGCACTGTGCAGCCAGTACAAAGAGCAAATAAATCAAGAGGAACTGGGAATTTGAAGAGCAGCTGACATGGTTTAGGAGCACGATGGGGCTTGAACTCATAAATCACTTGGGCCCTTTAAAAATGCCCCTCTTAGGAGACAGACTCTCACTCAGAGTGGAGCAGTTAAGAGAACTATGTTTCCCCTCTCCAATTTTAGAGTCAGTCTATGTCAGGACAGCCACTGCCTCCACAGCTCTGCAAGAACACAATGTGCAAGAGCTACCTCTACCCCACTGCTTCCCACACAGGCAGTCGTCCTTGCCAGCTGCTGAGCGCTGACCAACAGCCACCAAATCTCTCTCCCCAGTTAAGGTGGTGGGTGATGATGACAGCAGTGCTTTTTCCAGCTATTACACCCAGGTTCAAAAGACACTCGCTGTCCACGCTCTATCAATAACAATCTCAAAGACCTAGAGTTAACTGGGTCATCTAAGATCCATCCTACTGCAAAATGCCAAATAGTTTTGGTATCTTTTTTTCCTCAGTAAGTGAAAAGACAGTTATTTTTACTGCTGTCAAAATTATACAGAGTGGTTTACAACTACAGGTAAGTATAGGCTAAGAACACACAAAACAGGTACTGTACTATAAGGTGAACAAAGAAGGATTCTAAGTATTATTTCACTGAAAGACAGTATCAGCCTGGCAATCGCTTCTGATATTATTGTTGCAGAAAGCCAAATTCAGCTGTAACTCAACAGTGGTTAACCATAATCAACATAGGGAGGGAACTGGTTAGGAAATTCCTTACAATATTTGTCTCACTTTGCTCTTTAAGGGCTCTCTAAACAGTGTGCCTGTGAAGTACTGCAGGGATATGCATATGCAAAGCGGGGTCATGTCTAACAAGAAAAGTGAGGCTAAGCAACTAGTTTTCAAGCACCATGTAGATCTCATCAAACTTTCCAACAATTCTGAGCACAGGCCTATTCATGACATAGAGTGGCCCCATGCACCTCTGTCTGATGGAAAATGGGTTGGCTGAAGTTTCCCTATCACCATAGCCTGTCACAGGCCAGATCCCTAGTCCATTCAGTCACAGCGTCCCTCACAGAAATCAACACCCCTGCAGAGATTCACGCTGGTCAGGAAACAACTGCACTTTCCCCCAGCAATGGTGGCTTCTGCTTTATGCCCAGAGAACTCCAACATCGCAGGGCACCTTCTCCAACCTGCCCTACCTCTCTGCCCAGCTCCCACTGAAAGCAGAGCTGAAAGGAGTCAATTACTGCTCCGAAAACCAGCCACAAAGCAGCCCCAGATTAGAGCAGTCCTATCAGCTGCAGGCAGGTCACTGTGTAGCAGCAGAAGGTACCATCCCTCCCATGCCTGTTCTACTTACCACATTGCTGTGACACCATAGCTGATGCAGAATACAGCTCTACACATTCACCAGAAAAAATACACCCTTCCAGTGGGGAATACTGATCCCTCTTATGCTACTTTATAATTACATTGTGCTGGTTTTTGTGATACACAGAACGTTGTTCAATAGATCAGAGAACATAAATCTTTGTTTACTTTTTGTCTCTTCCAAGCTGTTTCCAGTTCCAGTTTAAAAACCTCTCCTCATCTTAAGCAGATCAGTCCCTCTACATAGGGTTAACCTACTACATTTAAAAGAGCTATGAGGGAG